ATATGTGTAAGACCTGTATTGAAAAAAAATCAGAAAACAGTATTGGAGAACATAATAAGCAGTGAATAAATGTAGGGATCTAATTTAATTTTTTTTATTATGAAAACATTAATTGTCCCAGTACCATATATGGAATACTGCATGCTTTCCTTATTCTATCCAATTCAACAAATAATCCAATGAGCACCTATTACGTACCAGATATTGTTCTAGGTACTTAGAATACAGCATTATAAAACACAGTAAAAATATTCCTGTGGGTAAATTGTATGGTATATGAATTATATATTAAAGCTATTAAAATATACCTGCCCTCATAGAACTTATATTCTACTTTGGGGAGATAGATAATAAACATAATAAATAGGTATATTATATAATATGCTGGGAGATGATAAGTGTTATGGAAAGATAGAGCAAAGGAAATTGAGAGTGATGGGCTTTGGGGGCAGATTGTAACTTTAAATAGGGTGGTGTGAGTTCGTTTCATTGAGAAGTTGACATTTGGACAAAGTCTTGAAAGAAGAGAAGGAGTTAGTCATATGAATATCTGGCAGATAATAAAAACTAATACATCATATACACTATGTGCCAGGGCCTGTTCTAAACATTTTACATATATTAACTCATTCAATACAACTGATATAGGTACTTTTATCATCACGCCTATGTGACAGGAAACTGAGGTACAGAGAGGTTAAGTAACTCACCTAAGGTTACAAGTTGATAACAAGTAGAGTCAGAATTTAACCCAAGCAGTCTGGCTCCAGAGTCTGTGTTCTTACTTCTACACTATTATTTGCCAAGGTCCCAGTTAGGCTGATATATATTTCTAGGATCTCATTTGTTCCATTGATCTTTGTCTCCCAGGCTAACACCACACTGTCTTCATTACTATAGCTTTATAATAAATCTTGGTAGGCTAAAGCTCCCCTTCTAATTCTTCTTTTTCATCATTGTCTTAGCTATTTTAGAGCTTTATACTCTTCCATAAATATTTTAGAATCAGTTTTTCAGGTTTTGCAAAAATTCCTGTTAGAGTTTTTACTGGAAATTCTTCATACATATAGACTACTTTGGGTAAGATTGATACCCTTACAATATTTCATCTTGATGTCCATGAGCATGGTCTGGCCCTACATTTGTTCACTGCTTATTATGTTCTCCTATACAGTTTTCTTATTTTCTCAATAAAGGTCTTACACATACTTTTTTTTATTTATTCTTATTCCCTTATAGTTTTGTGTCCTTTATAAACAACATGTATATGTATATTTATTTTTTTCCAAGCTCACTTCCTGTTTGCTTACCCCACTCCACCACAGATCCTACTTTCTGTGCTTCTGGTAGGTAACACAAACTAACGATTGCTTCCTTGATTGATGGATGGTCTTTTTTCCTGACCCGTTCTTTAAGCTGAGTGTGGTTAACCCAGATTGTAGTATATCAAAAGAAATCTAAGCCCTTCTTCTTCATGATTTTTGCAAGATTTATGGTCTTGCCCTTTTTTCCTTGATGAGTTTTTTAGCCCCTCAGGGGCAGTGATGGATGTTTCCTACTCTGCACTTACTATTCCTGTGGTACTGAGCACATGGTAATTGCTCAAAGAGCCTTATTGCTAAATTTCTCACAATAGGATTACTGTGCTTTTCCTTCAATCTCTTCATTCTATTGAGCCCACCTCCCTGACTATCCCTTGATCTTCAAGCATGACTTCCATATTTAAAGATGCAGTTTCCCACTTGACTTATGCTTGAGACCGTCTCTTCTGCCTGTAGCCCTTCTCCTCTGAGGAAGTGAGGAAGAAGATGTTGATGAGTAGCTTAGAGTTCTTTGAAAAGAAATGTCTTTATGAGATGGTCTAGTCAAGTTTTTGTAAAAGCTTTTCGACAGAATATTAGCCTACAGGATACTCTGGGGGGGGTGGGGAAGGACCTATGATTTAGAAAAAAAACTAAAAAAAGGTGGGAAGCCCTTTATACTAAATTGTCTTCTTGGAGACTTGTATGATATTTTAAGTATATTAAAGGCTCTGAGAAGTCTTGCGGTAAAGAAAATTGTTTAACTTTGTTTAGCCCATCATTTCTTAAAAGTTTTTGACCACAGAACTTTTTTCTGTTTTTAAAGAACACCTTTTAATAGCCACATACCTCACACTGGGAAATACTGATAACTTGTTCATCCCTTAGCTCTCTGGTGCATATAAAACAAACAAAGTCACCTATCCTAGACTATGTCCTAAAGATATTTTGCAGCTGCAAATATAGGTAGTGTTGCAAAGCCTATATAATGAGGAAGCTTCCCCTAAAATCTATTCCAAAGCTTTCATGTTTAAGTTTTGTCATCCGTCCATTCTTATAACCTCACTGGAAATAAAAAGATTATGTTCTGATACAAAATCAATTGCTGTATATTTACTGAATCCTACTGATACATGTTTTATTGACTATGCAAAGACATTCGACTATATGGATCATAACAAATTATGGATAACATTGCGAAGAAGGGGAATTCCAGAATGCTTAATTGTGCTCATGAGGAACCTGTACATGAATCAAGAGGCAGTCGTTCGAACAGAACAAGGGGATACTGCACGGTTTAAAGTTAGGAAAGATGTGCGTCAGGGTTGTATCCTTTCACCATACTTAATCTGTATGCTGAACAAATAATCTGAGAAGCTGGATTATTTGAAGAGAAATGTAGCATCAGGATTGGAGGAAGACTCATTAACAACATGCACTCTGCAGATGACACAACCTTGCTTGCTGAAAGCAAAGAGGACTTGAAGAACTTACTGATGAAGCTCAAAGACTACAGCCTTCAGTATGGATTACACCTCAACATAAAACAAAAATCGTCACAACTGGACAAATAAGCAACATCATGATAAACAGAGAAAAGATTGAAGTTAACAAGGATTTCATTTTACTTGGATCCACAACCAACACCCATGGAAGAAGCAGTCAAGAAATCAAAAGATGCATTGCACTGAGCAAATCTGCTGCAAACGACCTCTTTAAAGTGTTGAAAAGCAAAAATGTCACCTTGAAGACTAAGGTGCACCTGATCCAAGCCATGGTGTTTTCAATCGCCTCATATGCATCAGAAAGCTGGACGGTGAATAAGGAAGACTGAAGAAGAATTTACACCTTTGAATTGTGGTGTTGCTGAAGAATATTGAATATCCCCTGAACTGCCAAAAGGACGAACAAATCTGTCTTAGAAGAAGTACAACCAGAATGCTCCTTAGAAGCAAAGATGACCAGACTACGTCTCACGTACTTCAGACGTATTATCAGGAGGGACCAGTCCCTGGAGAAGGACATCATGCTTGGTAGAGTAGAATGTCAGCGAAAAAGAGGAAAACCCTTAAGGAACTGGATTGACACAGTGGCTGCAATAATGGGCTCAAGCATAACAAGGATTTTGAGGATGGTGCAGGACTGGGCAGCATTTCGTTCTGTTGTACATAGGGTCTCTGTGAGTTGGAATGGACTTGAGGGCACCTAACAACAACAAACACTGATATGCAAGAAAGAAAGAAGTTTTAAGACATTAGCCTTGCTGGGCAAGGAAGTTGCAACTGGTGGTCTACCACTGGTTGGAATTTTACACATTTCCCTGCTGCTATTCCTTGATCTTTCTCTGCCTCTGATCAGAATAATCCTGATTTATCAAGGGGTAGCCACAATGTAAGGCAGAAACACATGGAAGAGAACAGATTAGACACATGCAGTCCTTTGAGGCACTTATTTAGGAACCAGGAAAGCAGTAGAAAAGTGTTGGGAGGATTTGACTGGGCACTTGAGGCTGTCCACTCAACTAACATATATAGCTTAGTCTTTGCTGAACCCACACTTTCCAGAGAAGGAAGACAATAATATTTTTATCTCACTTTGAGACAGCTTACAGTAAAACACATGTGCAGAAAGTACTTAAATATTAAGAGAGCAACAGCTAAATATAAAAGGGAGGGCTAATTATACTATGAATCAGATATAAGAGAATTAATGAGCATGCTGTTAGCTCTGAGCTTCCTGGAAGCCAAGTAAAAATGGAATCATGACTGTTACATATTAATTAGTTCAAGACTGTTATGTATTAATTCCTGTAGTCTCAATTGTAAATATGGGATGGAGCCCACTCCCCCTTTACTCTCTCACCTTTCTTTTCTTTTGTCCTATAGCTTGGCTTGATCCAATGAGTCCAATTTGGATGCTTCTTGCTCTTCATAACATACTTGATATAAAGAAGACAATTAGCGGCAAATAGATAGTTTGAGGAGAGATCTATTAATGTTTATTTTGTAGCCATCAAACCCTCTTCACATGGTAAGGTCTCTGGGTTGAATTTGAACTGTCAAACTAGAGGTAAAGTCCATAGATACCATTAACCAAATTCTTACATCCAACTAAAAGATCTTTGGGGCCCTTCTCAACCTCGTTCTCTGTGAAAATTTGGAACTATTTCCCCTTTGTCTTATCCCTTTCCTGCTCCTTCTTAGTCTACTCCACTACCTCAATTTAAAAAATAACCAGTTATTGGATGAATGAGCTAAAATGAATGCAGATTTGATTGTTTTCTCTCAAGGGAGTGATAGGAAGAGAGCTGCAAACTTAGAGGCCTGGTTTGGCTGTCTGAGGTTGGTCCCAAGGCCGATTAGGCCAAGGTTTTGGCCAAGTGAAATTTTCAATTCTCTAAAAGAAAGGGCTAGCACATTGCTCATTAGAGCATTCTGAACTTGCCTGTGCAATCTTTTTGCTACCCTGCAATTTCCTGTTGGTTATAAATGAAACCTTTCTAGCTGTTAATGCAGCTTGTGACTTGAAAAAAAAAAAGCCTGTAATTAATCATAGGAGGTTGGGGGATTCACTAAGCCTGAGTTACATGGGAGAAGCCGGACAAGGCACTAGGACCTAGAAGGCATCTATCCACCCTGGCAGGAATTTCTTGCTTGGAGCTCAGACAACAAAGGCATAGAGAGATTGGTTTTCTTTCTCTCAGCATCTCCACCCAACCAGCAGAAAACCGGTGAGTGGGGCTTTCAAGTGATTTTCAGGCAGAATGTAACAGATGTCAAACGGGAAAAGCACAAGGCAAAGCTAGTTCTCTCTCTGTGTATCTTTCTCTCTCTCTCTCCTTTTTTTCTTTATTCAGTTGGATTTTGTCCTAAACCTCTACCTGGGATTTTCCTTTGGAAAAGTGAGTTTGACGTTTCTTTGTTTTCAATGTGATGTTGATTTAGAATAATATCACCTCTGATTCTAAAGCAAAGCAAAGCAGAGCGGTACTGGAACGCCTGGCTGGAGAAATGCTTGCTGCTTGTCTTGAGGAGGTGGGGTCTCTTACCACTGCAGGTTGTCTGACAGAGACAATGCTGAGCTCAGCACAGGTCACGGTGACATTGGAAGAAAAGGGGGACTGAGCCTGGCAAACCGACTAGGCACCAGTCCTCCTTTATCTTCTGTCCTCCTGGTCCCTTGCAAATATCTCCATGTGGCAGTGTGTAGCAGCTGAGCCCTGATTGCTTTGTGAGTCCTTTTATCCCCATCTGTGCAATGCATGTTCATAGTTTGGTTGCTAGGTTGTCACTACCTTTGCTGGCGTTTGGGGGCTTTGGTTGTATTTGGTTTCATATTTTGATTTTTTTTTTTTTTTTGGTTCAGCAGTAAGGGGGAAAGCAAAGCCTGACAGATGACCATCTTTTGCCTCAGCTAACATACCTGGGCAATAGATAAGTTTGGGGTGAATTGCCTGCTGTGAGGGCAAAAAGCCTCTTCGTCAGGGTAGAAACACAGAACAATGAAAGGTGTGCTTGCTTCTAAAGATCTCATAGTTGTTCAGGGACTCGTTTGGGAATCTTTCAACAATTAAATTATTCTATTAAGAGGTGCGGCTGCAGCACTAGGGAGGAGATGAGAGGTCTAAAAAAAAAGAAAGAAAGAAAAGAAAAATAAAAAAGGATTTTGTGACCAAATGGTACCAAAGGGAAAGCGGAGCTAATAACTTATTAAATAACTGATTTTTCTAATCCTCTTTTTTTTTTTTCAGTGTATTTCTATGCATGTCTGATAGCTGCACCAGCTTGGTGGGGAAAGGGTTTGATGAATAGCACAAAGACTCTGGCTATTCCCTGGAGGCTGTCCCTTTAAACAAGAATCCTAGTTTATTCTGGGGGGAGGGGATGCACACATTAGAGTAGGAAAGAGGGTTTGGAATAAAATTAAAACACTCCTCTTCATAGTCATTGTACTGAGATGCAGAGACTGCTTCCTAAGCTGGAGATGCTAACCTTGGCTAGCTCCTTCTGTTCGCTTCAAGGGGAATTTTGTCAGGCTATGGATTCATTTACAACTGTTAGTCATGTGGGCATGTGTGAGGAAGCAGATGCCAGTTTTAATGCATTTAGCCTGAAGTTACAATTTGATAGGAGCTACTGTCAGTAAGTCCCAGGGTTTTAAGCTATTCCAAAATCCCTCCTCCCCTCTGCTTGGAATAGTGCCAAAAGTGCCTCCCTCCCTATCGCTCACCCCCAACCCCCACGACAACCAGCACCCCCAGCCCCTCCCAGCCCCTCCTTCTTCTCTATTAAGATCAATATTCCTGCAGGTCAGTGGCAAGCAGCAGATGGGTCACCGGCTTTTTCAACCAGTTCTTTTCACAGGCAGCAGATTGCGGATCTGGATCTGGCTAATATCTAAAATCCTCCCCCCCCCCTTTTTTTCCTTACCCCTTTTTCTTTGCCTCTCTTTACCTCCCAACCCCTTTCTCCAACACTCAGGTCTTTGAGGTTCCACCAAAATATGGAACTTGATTTTGGACACTTTGACGAAAGAGATAAGACATCCAGGAACATGCGAGGCTCACGGATGAATGGGCTGCCCAGCCCCACTCACAGCGCCCACTGTAGCTTCTACCGAACCAGAACCTTGCAGGCACTGAGCAATGAGAAGAAAGCCAAGAAGGTACGTTTCTACCGCAATGGGGACCGCTACTTCAAGGGGATTGTGTACGCTGTGTCCTCTGACCGTTTTCGCAGCTTCGACGCCTTGCTGGCTGACCTGACTCGATCTCTGTCCGACAACATCAACCTGCCTCAGGGAGTACGTTATATATACACCATTGATGGATCCAGGAAGATCGGAAGCATGGATGAACTGGAGGAAGGTAATTCAAGGAGTGGGTGGTGGTCCTTGGTGGGAGGTGGAATAATGATTGTGGTTCTATTTTTTGAATTTCATGGAAAGAAATTAGGAAGTATATTTGTCAAAACACCAGGTTGATGCTCAGACTTCTCATTCTACAGACCACTAGCCACCACTCTTTATGGCCTTCAGTCTCTGCTGGCTAGGGTTGAGGTATGGGTGGTGGTGATAATGCATTGTGCTTATCTGCCAGGGTATATAAAGAAAAATCTGAATTGTGGTGTTTACTCTAGATCTTGTTCATAGTTAACTCTGAGGAGCATTATTGAGGCAGACCATACAATCATTAGGGGTGTAACAAAGAAAGAAGGTTGATTGGGTTAACAGAGAGAAGGTTTTATACCCAAGTTTCCTGTGAACCGCTGAGAGACTGTTTGGTGAATTGCAACTCGTTGGAAATATGTACCCTAAAAGCAAGACTTCCTGGATGTATTCATAGAGAATTATACTTTTAGGTAAGTGGTTACTGCTCAGCTGTTGCTTCTAAAAAGCCCACTTCAGGGTGTGTCCCTAAGGCTGAGGTCATTGAGAGAAATACCAAAGAAAGCTGTAGGTATGTCTGGTATTTTAATGAAGACCATTCCTATTAGAATAGGCACTGACTCACTGTACCCAAATCCCTTTAAGTCCTCTCTAAATTTTGGTTTTTTAACAGTATTTTCTAACAAGATTGCTGAAAATCCAGACAACCTGTGAACCCACCAGAAAATAGGGAAAATCCAACCTCTTACCAAAACTGCTCAGCTGTAAAGTCTTCTTTGTGATCATTTAGAAAATAGATCTTGGAAAACATCCTTAATATTCTACTTTAGCAAATAAATTATATTGAGGTTGCTTTACTACATCCACTTTTAAATTGGTAGGTATAACATATGTGATCATTTTAATCTAACACAATGCTTGAAAAGACAGCCTCAAGGAGTGGCAATAATAAAAATGTTCCCCCAGTCCCCTCCCCCATTCTCCAGCCTTCCCTCCCAGCTCCCTCCATTCCCTAGGCAAAGAAAGGTGAGCTTAGAGCAGGCAGATGTCTAAGGAAAACAAATTGTGAATCAGCCAACAAGGAAGAAGAAACAGCACATTAAATGACCTGGTGTGGGAGTGCCAGCCTCTGCTTCACTGCTTCTAGGTTTCTTGTGTTCCTAAACAAAGGAGCACGCAGAGTTTCTCTTGTGATAGACTGCAGCTCTCTCAAGTAGCTACAGTTTCCCAAGTCAGGCCAAGAGATTGGGGCAAGTTGCGTATAAAGGACAGTGTCCATGTGATTGCTGGATCTGGGTTTCGGTTCCAATCTGAGGGTTGCCTACATAGCTGACCTTGAAAAGCAGTGCCAAGGAGGCTTAGATTATTTGACAGTGTGTTGGATGGCCAGGCAGAGCTTAATCCTAGGCCCTTCCTAACCATTGAAGGATTAGCTATCCTAGCACAAATCTTTAAAATAAGAGTCAGGGCAAACATAAGGCTTAGAGCTAGGTTGAGGGAGCTGTCCAACAAAGTAATCAATTGGGTGTGTATCTTTTGTCACTGTAAAATCAATACCTCTGTTGAATTTAAGGGATTTCTCTATAATAACTTTCTCAAACAAAGCAACCCGAGCCACTAAATATATCCTCATTTACACTAGCTGTGATCATCTGAAGGTCACAATGGATGCTAGGGCAGAATTCTGAAGCAAGTGGCATTGTATTAAGAGCAAGGATTAGAATGTTCTTGTGTCTAACGTAAGAGAGGTGTCATGCACAGATTTTCCCCCTAAATCCATTTTTTTACGTGTCCTACTCAAGAATAAGCCCATGTTATTGATTTTTCTCCCTGGATGTGTGTATGTGTGTGTGTGTATGTATTGGAGGGGGGTGTGCTAATAAACAATCTCAGTTCAATAGTGCTAATAAATGTAATTTTGGGGAAAAAAAAAACACAGCTTTTCCCTTGAGTTGTTTTGAGCCCTGCTGGATTGGACTCCTCTCATCTACCACTCCAGGGAGCAGTGGTACTTTCTGGTGAATCTTAGAATGTGTAGAGTATGGTTGGGGCTCAGTTGCATTTGTTTATAAATCATCTACAAACACAAGCTACAGCGGATCTCAATGCCCTCCCTGAGCTGAGTACTGCCCATTCAGTCAAGGAAAATTCAGAGGTATCTTTGGGATAGTGTTGAGAAATGTGACTAAATTTCCCATGACCACAGAATCAGGCAGGAAAGGGCTGTGGGGTGAGGAGGGTAGAGAAAATGGGTCTTCTTCTATTTTGTCCTTCAGAAATACTCAGTATATCTAGAGATGGAGGACAGAAGTCCCTTCACTTTCTTCTCCTTTGGAAAGGTTTAATGAAAGATCAAAAATTCACACGCATTGCTTCCCATGAGGCTTCAAGTTGAAAAAGCTTGGAAATACCTCAATGAAGAATCCGGGGCATTGTGTTCTAGTCTTAGAGGGAGCAGATTATACTGGGAAGAGAAGTCTTTGCAATCAGACAAACCTTGGTTCAAATCCAAGGTCTGCCACCTGCTAATTTGTGTGACCTTGAGGAAACTGTTTAGATTCTCTGAGCCTTAGTTTTTCAGATGAAATAACAATGGGAATAACAGTTTTGAGAATTAAATAAAACAATGAATATGAAGTACTGAGTGTTTTACTTAGTATTTTGCTGCACACTCCCAATAAAGGCTAGCTATTATTATTTGAGTCATCATAGTTTATAACTGGTTAGTTACATGATCATAGGTTTGCCCTTAAAATCACTGTGATTAATGTTCTCTTTATTTTTAACAACTTTATTAAGGTATAATTTCCATACCATAAAATTCACCCATTTGAAGTGTACAATTCAATAATTTTTAGAAAATTTATGTAACCATCACCATAATCTAATTTTAGACTATTTTCACACACCCCCATGAAAACTCATACCAATTAGCTGTCACTTCCTATTTCCCCCTAACCTCTCCAGCCTTAAGCAATCATCCATTTCCTTTACATCTCTATAGATTCGCCTTTTCCAGACATTTCATATAAATGAAATCATACAATATGTGGTTCTTTGTGACTGTCTTTGTTTACTAGCATAATGTTTTCAAGGTTTATCTGGGTTGTACCATGTGTCAGCCTGCCATTTCTTTTTATTGCTGAATAATATTTGATTGTATTTGTCTATCCATTCTACAGATGCTTTCCATTTCATATCTGTAAAATGAGACTAGTAAAACTTGCCTGCTCTATCTTATAGGATGTTTATAAGGATAAAAATAGATAAGGGATATGAAAACACATTCACATTCACAAGGTAAAAAAAATAATGCTATGAATATGATAATAATAATGACAATGATGATGTTCATGAGGGGTTGGAATGACCAGTAATTCCCTAATCTGGCTGCCTTTCAGAATCTTTCAGAGCCTTAGAAAAATACAGATTCCTGGACCACACCCCAGACCTATTGAATCAGAATACCCAGGGCTAGGGCACAGGAATCTATGTTTTTTCAAAGATCCCTAGGTAATTCCTATGAGCACTTAGACTTTGGAAGTATTGGATTAGGTGATCTTGATGTTCGCCTTCAGCTAACTTCTGTGGTGAGAATTTCTAGGAATGCAGAAATCCTTATTTCTGTTTTTTACTTCTTAGTTCTTAAAAGAATAATGGAGCATAGAACATATTATGTTTCCAAATGGCCACACTAATAAATATTTAGCCTATAATGAAATGAAAAAAACAATTGGTTAATAATCACTCTGGCCTTGTGGCACCCCTTTGTCTAATGTCTAGTGTCTGCTGCTGCATACTAAAAGTAGCAAGGGAAGCATTTTGGACCAAAGTCAGATGATTGATGTCAGCTTTCCCACAACTCCTTGGGAACACCTAGGGTCTTAGTGAGGCATATAAGATGTGGTCCTACTGTATTCTTAGTAGGTCAATGAAAAAAATCACTTGGTGGCTTTTCCTTTTTTCTTGCTTAGCCTTTTATTTTAGAATCCTTCTCCTTCCCCTCATATTCTCTCTACTGCTCTTCTCACTTCCTTGTATGTGAGTACTCAGATCAATCTTAGAGGTGTTATTTGTGACTAGCCAGCTTTTCTGAACAGATATTGAGATACGTCTGAGCATTATTAGCCAGACCATGAAACAGAGTATTTACAATTGGGATGGTCTTGGAAAATCTGAGCTGTATAGTGACACCACCTATGATCCAGTTCATCTCCTATAGCTCATTTCTTCAGATGAGATAAAACCACCTTCTCACTGATTTGTCCTCTAACTACTGAAGCAAGCACATTGCCAAAGAGGAGAATTTTAAGATACTTGGGAGGGATGCATTGTTAATAGGTATAATAATATAACAAAGTTGCATTTAATATTTCTGCTCTTGAGTCAGGAAGCCCCAGAGAAGAGGAGAAAGCCCAGGCAGAAGTGTTTTTGCACTGAGAAGATGTAAATATGCTTAATGCTGTTGGAAATGAAGCCCTCCTGAAAGTGAAGGGTGGTAGACTTTAGATCATCTTGAGCTCACAGCTCAGTCCCTTCTTGCCCTTACAGCTGGTCTTCCATGACTTCATTTCCTTTCCCTCTTGCCCCAGAGCAGGTTGTCAATTCCACATAATTGTCACCTTGCTTGGCTTGAAAACAGTTTTCCCTCTAGACTCACAGCAGGAGGGAAATGGCCCCTGGAAGCTGTGGCAGGATGGGAACCCAGCTGTGTAAAGGTGCGACACACCTCACCCAGCTCCAAGTGCCAGGCAGCCAGACGTGCAGGAAGCACCGAGCTCTGGCGGCAGATGTGTGCCAAATCACAACAAGGAAGCCTTAGTTTAGAGAAGTGGCGCATTTGGTATCTTTCCAGTATTGAGAAGTAGAGAGTCCTCAGTGATGAGCACTGTTTCTTTAACCTGTAATTACCATAACAGCTTTGTTATATTGTTTCCTAAAGCCTATTTGAGATGGAAAGGAGAAGAAAATTTCTTCTTGTAGACTTATAAGGGCTAAAAGAGACCTCAGATGTTACCTAATGCAATACCTTCAATTTATAGATAGGAAAGCTGTAACTCAGAGAGGTTGAGTGAATTGTCGGAGGTCACAGCTTGTAAATACTTGGCAGGGATTTGAATCCAGGCCTGTCTGACTCCTGAGTTGCTGCTCTTAACCATCATAGATATCTTGCCCTCAGTGGACTTCAGCAGTGGCTTTACTGGGTGTTAGGTGTAGAAATCCACATTTGGCATTTGTAGCAACCGGAGAGCTCCCAACCAGCAGGAGCTCTTATCTTTGAGGTGTGGGACTCAGGCAGTGGTCATGTTATATTATAATCACAGCTCAGTTCCTAGATGACTGTCTTTGCTTCTCTCTCTTTCTTTCAGCTTCTGCTACTCCTTTCCTTCCTTTTCTCTCAACTCTTTCTTCCTCCTTCCTCTCTCTGCTATTTCCGTCTCATTCTCATCTCTATTCCTTCAAATTAAGGCCTTAAAAATAATGATAGCTAGAATTTATGAAGTGCTTACTATATGCCAGGCTCTGAGCTGAGCACTTGATGTTCATCATCTGATTTGCGCCTCACAACAACCCTATGAGGTAGGTATTATCATCCCCATTTTGCAGACAAACTGAAGCCAAGGGAGGTTAGGTAACCTGTCCTAGGACACACAACCAGGAAGTGTTGGGGACAGGATCAGGCCCCAGTTCTGACTGACATCACCTCAGCTGCTTTTTTTCCACTACTCTGAATTGGGGCCAAAAGGAGAGAGTAGAGTGACTAAAATGTACCATTGGAAGGTGCCTAACATAGATTTGACTGAGGACTGGACCCTCTGGAAAGTTCTTGGGTGTCATATGATACTATAGCTATTTGCCATCATGTTCATTTTCATCTGGGGTGGTTAATCATACTCATAGTCAGAGGCTTAAGAGGTTTAAGAGATGGGAGCAAAAAAAGTCCAGAGTCCTAATAGGGCTACACAGCTGACTCTCCAGAGAAGACTGTGGGTGAGTGAAATCATAAATATATAACCTCACACATTTCCACACCACCAGTTGTCAGACAGGATTTCACAGTACATGACAAGTTATGGAAAACATCTGACTCAAAGCCAGTGACCTCTTGCAAGGTGCCTGTGAATCCTGTGAAGTGCTAAGGCAAGAGACCATTCTAAGGCACGGGGGATAGTGGCTGTGAAAATACAGAGGAATTGAAAGGGCCCCTTCATCCTTTTAATTCACAAATGAAAAACCCCAAGCAAGAGAAACCCTGATTTCTCTGGCACCCTTGCTGGCTAATCGTACCCAACCCAGGTGATTAGAGGCAGCAGAGAGAACTTTTAACCATTCCACTCCTGAGTGTGCATGTGTGCACCAGGTGGGGGAGGGTACCTGTGCTCACCTACAAACCATCCCTTCCCCCCTCCCCCCATCAATACAGAAGACTCAAGGCTTCTGGGACACAGAGCAGCTTTGGAAGCCACTTACCCTCCCCCTCCACACACACACAAATGTCCTCAAAGGTGCCCTAGAGAATCTGACTGAATCTTCTCTTAGTACTGAGAAATTTATTAATTAACATGACTTAAAGGATTTTGTGCTACAGCAAAGCAATCAATATTTGCAAAGGGAGTGAATTATCAGCCCCGGGTTTCTGAATGTCTCTGTGGTTCTCCCACTGAGACCAAGGGAAGGAGAAGAGCCATTGGGCTATAATTGTGTTTAATGCTTTCTTTGTACTGCCTAGCACTGATCCATTTGTTTATTTATTTAGGGTTATCACTGATGATTTAAACCTGATTAAATCACACTGGTTTTCTGCAGCTCAACCTCTGGATGAACTTCTGTATACCTCGAGGCTAATATGCTTTACTCAACAAATTCAGCCTTTTCCGATATTCTCTCCCTGAGGCTGAGCCTACCTCTCTTTGCATTTTCTCTAGCTTGTAGTCCTGGGTGTCCAAGCCCCTCTTTTTGCCTCTGGCCCCTATGTTTCTTCCACTGTATTAGTCATTTCCTCTAGCCCAAGGTAAATGTGAAAATTACACTAGATCCCTCCAATCCATGAATCAGGCTTTACAATGTATTCTCACATATTAACCTCATTACTCGTGGCGGCCAAAGGTGAAGACAGCCCTGTATAAACAGATCTAGGTGCAGCATTTGGGAGGATGCAAAGATGAGGGATGGGTGGTGAAAACAAGGGAGAGTATTTTTCAAGCTTCAGGCAGACTGTGAGGTTTAGCAGCTGATTCACAAGCAGGAGTGAGACTTGCAAATAAAAGGAAGTGTGTGTGAGCACGCGCGTGCGCGTGTGTGCGCACGCAAACGCGTATGCAGGTTGCTATTCAGACAGTTTCTCCACGTGGATATAGAAGTGAACAGTGTAGGGCACAGTATATACACATATATACTTTCACTACAAGCACACACACACACACACACACATGACTTTCACTTTTCAACATTCCATTGCTTAGCCACATATCCTGCGCGAAGGACCACCTGGCTTCTTGTCAAGCATATACTGTATGCCCAATATGCAAGGTTACTTGGGTCACTTTAACTTAGAATAAAATGTATGAGCTTTGAAAGTTCTCCTTGGTTCATAATATAACAAAGGGATGGGGTGATGGAACATAGGACAGGAGCATTAAGAAATAGACACGTTAAAAACACTCCAGTAATGACCCTAGAAGTTAACAAACACATAAAATGATTTAAAAAAAAATTCTGCAATTCTAAAAACTACCATAAATGTTTCAATTCCAATAAAAACGCATCAAGCTTGAGGAATCCACTTATTAGGTGGTACTCATGTGTGTTCATTGTCCTTAGACCCCTTAGCCTTACAGAGTTCTTCAAAGAGGTAAGCCATTATATGGAAGGATGTTTTGCTGATCACTTGCCCTTGAATTTGAATGAGCCAAATTGTTAGAGAGCTCAATTAGGAATTGTGCCTAAGCTTGGGTATTATCACCAGTTCTCCAAAAGTCCCAGCCCGATGTCAATGTGTATTCATTTGGTTAGAATGCTTCATATCTATCTGCTATTAAACTAATCATCTGACCACTTATTTCCTCTTTTAGGGGAAAGCTATGTCTGTTCCTCAGACAACTTCTTTAAAAAGGTGGAGTACACCAAGAATGTCAATCCCAACTGGTCTGTCAATGTGAAGACATCAGCCAATATGAAAGCCCCTCAATCCCTGGCTAGCAGCAACAGTGGCCAGGCCAGGGAGAACAAGGACTTTGTGCGCCCCAAGCTGGTGACCATCATCCGCAGTGGGGTGAAGCCTCGGAAGGCTGTGCGAGTGCTTCTGAACAAGAAGACAGCTCACTCATTTGAGCAAGTCCTCACTGATATCACTGAAGCCATCAAACTAGAGACCGGGGTTGTCAAAAAACTCTACACTCTGGACGGAAAACAAGTAGGTATCTTTGTAGAATAGCTCTTCTTTCTCATTTGTTCTACTTGGATGACCATCTTGTACCTAAGACATCATTTCTACTTGGGGGACTCTTCCTCGATATCTCATTATCCCTACTTGCTTGAATATTATATGTCTCATTTGGAGGGAAGGTCTTTTCAGGGAGCAAAGCACTGGGAGAGGACGTCTGAGGCTTTGAAATCCAATCTGCTTCTGATTTACCAAGTATAATGGTTATGTAGCCTCAGTTTCCTTATCTGCTAAGAAAAGATGTGTTAGAATGTAGGTCTTATACATTCTTATGAATATGACTTTAGCTAATACATGATACAGTCATGATTATATGATTGGTGTTTCAATGCACATGACTGTGAATGAGACTTGTCTACTCTTTTCTTCTTACATGCCCTTTCTTTGGTATTCAGCATCCATTCTGAAGAAAAGTGGTTGAAGTGACTTTCCTTTGGTATGAAGGGAGTCAGATACGGGGGAAGCACTGAAATCTCTGGTTCGTTGTCTTTGCCTCACACTAGACCACATTTTCTCTCTCTCCCATTTCCATGTGACATAGCTGTCTTAATTTGGTTCCACTGATGGTTTGTGTGAGAAAGGGACTATTTCAGAATCCTAAAATTAGCCCAAGAAAGATGCTGCCATCTGTTCTCCTCCAAATCAGGTTCTCATGTCATTGGTTATGCTACTAAAGTGCTACCTATATTAATATCTGGGAAAGAATGCAGCCAGGCGTCTCCATCAGACAGATGCACTATTCTCTTGAGCATAGGGAGTTGTAAATATATGACAAAAAATGTTCCAAGGGAATTGGAACGGTGGCTTGTTCTGTTGGCCCTAAAGAGAATCCTGGTCCCTTGTCAGAGAAGACAAGTGTGGCTTCTTATCAGTCCAAACTTTTCACCTCTTAAAATACCTTTGGTGTTTGACCATCTATATAGATTCTAAACAATCAGATTGACTATACACCCAAATAACTGATGAGTGTTCAAATGCAGAACTGTGTCTCCTTCCATCATTTTCGGCATATACTATGTACTCCAAGATTTTAAGTTTCAGGGAAAACTCAAACTTGTATACTTAGCAATTTTGGTAAATATGTGGCTTCTATCTGTTCCCCATCATTTTGTGATCCAAGAGACACCTAGAGGTGCTGTTTATATGTGAGTTGTGCTTGTTGTACCAAAGAAATGTGTTTTACCTGTGATGGTGGGAAAAGTTCCAACTCCCAAACATCTCTCTAAGAGTAACTCTCTTCTGAACACCAAGTATATAACAAACAGGAGATGCCTAGGAACAGGCTTAATCACTGGAACACTCACCTGGGACAAATAGGACCCATTGGATCTTAAGAGTTGAGAGTGACCCTAGAAGCTATGACATTTAACCTCCCACCTAAGTCAGGGATATTCTCTACAATCATTTCACAAGACAACCTAGTCCACTATCAACAGCTGTGATTTTAAAAAGATTTTCTTTATATTGGGTATAAATCTGTTTCTCTATACCTTCGGCCTCTTGAAGTAATACAGAACAAATACAAATCAAGGACATAGAAGAATAGGTTTCTAGTCTTGGTACTGCCATTTACTACTATGTGACCCTGGGCTAACTATCTTGAGCCTCATACTCCTCCGTACAAAGAGTCTGATCATACCTGGCTTGCCCATGCTCACAGTGTTCTTATGAGGACCAAATGAAATAGAGATATGAAAACACTTAAATTAAAACACATTATGTAAATATATATGCATACAATTATTATATAGTTAAGCATTATTTCAGATAATATATGTAAATTGACTGGCACATAGTAAGTGCTTAATAAATGTTAGCTCTCTTCCCCCTACTTTACCTCTATCATTCTTAGCATGAATTTCCCACATTCTGTGGAGATATTCCATACCCTGGTATTCTGTGATCTGTTAAATTTTAGATGATTGCTCCTAATAAAGGGACACCTTCTTCTAGGTAAGTAAGCACCAGCCCAGTGTTTGGTATATTTTCTTTCCTACAGCAGTCCATGCAGAGTGGCAAGCCCTCCCCAGCTCCCTCAAGTATTGGTTCCTATTTCTTTAGGGAACACATCACAAAATGCCAGTGTATGCTGTGGTGTTGTGTGTACAGTAACGCCAGGGAATGATGATCAGGGGAGCAGAAAAATGCCTTTTCAGATCTCTGTGCCTCTGTACATACTGTTCCTTCTCTCTAATATGCCTCCCTGTACACATCCTGACCCCTGGAGGTCATCTTTTTAAGATCTGGTTCAAATGCCACTTCATCTCAGAAAAATTCTCTGCCTCAACAATGCAGAACTAAAGCAGTCTTAATTTTTTTTTTAATGCACAGTTCCTGGTACACCGTGGATGCTCTATGTTTGTTGACAAAATGAACTGCCATAAAGAGATTCTCACATGGCCCAGGTAGTTGTTCTGAGAAGCCCTTTGCTTTCAGTGCCCCAGGCACACATTATCTTTAAGTCTGTCTATCAAAAGAGATTGGGGGCTCCCAAACTAGTTTGTATGCCACCCAGACAGCTTCTATCTGTTGCTTACTCGGAAGTCACAAAGGGCAGACATTTAAGGCAATGTTTCCCTAAAGTATATTTTAAGAAGAACTGTTCCCATCTCCCCATACCCTGGAAGCGCTTTAAAAAAGGGTTCTGTGGTTAAAGAAGATTGTGAAATGCTGAAAATTATATGCCTTTCTTAGAGATTCCCAGTTCTCACTGGCATATTAAATGATCTGAGAAATCCTGCAGAAAGGAAACTCATTTAATTTAGACCCAGCATTTCACAATCTTATTTAACCACAAACTTTTTTAATGGAATACATATAAATGCTGTTTAAGAAGATGCTGAATGATTAGGAACTAGTCTAACCTCATTGGTAAAATTGGTATGTGTGAGTCAACCCACGAGTCAAACACGGCTGTGTGGTTACAGCATGGACATTAAATAACAAAATTTGGGGGTACAAGGACAAATCTACTAATTACAAAATAGGTGCTGTGTATACAGAAAGTTGGTGCCAAATTCAAAATTTTGGAGCCTAGCCCATTTCCCAATTCTAGTGATGACAACTCTAATGTAAACACCTGTCAGTCACTTTGATTACTGGTGGGTATTCTTACTACTTGGCAATATGATCTTCCTCGATGGAGACTGAAGGCACGTGTGTTGCAATAGCTTGGACTTGCTTGGATGAGATTCCACTCCTGCTTTTGGCTAAATGTGGCAGCAGGCACTAAGTTGGAAAGGACAAAGTATGGTCAAAGCCATTTGCTATAGAACGTTTGAATCGTGAAATCAAGGCCATCACTTGAGTTCAGTGTATGCTCTAACTGGATCCTAAATTGACCAAATCAAGTGTTTTTTTCCCCATTGTTTAAATAATGATCAGCTAAAAGAGTGTACCACTTGACTGATTGGCTCATTGACAAGCAATCTGCAGACATGGCTCTCGTCTCTTTCTCTCTGTTTTTATTTTGTTTGGATGTCCTTTTGGAGCCCGTGATCTTTTCAGGGCTTATGTTTTGCCAGGGTTAAAGACTGGTTTCCTAACCTCTTGTCTCTGAGATATTGGTGGTCTGTGTAGGCAAGGAAGCTAACCATCACTAGAGGAAGGAGTTCCAATGTATTCCTCAGCTCAAAAAGAAGTACCTAATGGAATAAAGAATGGTCCGTAGGGCCCCTGGATATCCCCAGGGGCTGAAATGATTTCTAGGAGGTCAAGAAGGATATAATGGAGGGTTGGATTATGATCCATATTAGTTCACTCTCAGATGAGGTTGCTCTTTTGATTCCTTGACAACTGGAGTGGTTGTGATATGTTGACGAAATTATCCAACTATTAATTTCCATAATTAAATAACTCGTTGATCTTTATGCATAAAGGAAATGGGTAGATAAAAACTGGAACCCAAATTTCTGGTTCACTTGATAGTAGTGGCTAAATAAATACGTGGTGTAGCCATAAATTCAGTTCTGTAAAGCAGAAAGCATGGTGCTTCCATTAGAGTTACAGAGCTCTAATAAAAGACTTCCAGGGTTTTGTTTTGTTTTTTTTTTTTTTTTTTTTGCATCTTACATAGGAGTGCAGCTGATCCTCGCACCATTCATTTTCATGGTACACTGACTGTCATCTCTAGGTGCGGTTTCGTCCACACCCAGGGTCTGTTCAGGCAAAGATGTAATAGTGCCTCAAGATACATGCCTAAGGGATAAATATGGCCTTTATTATTTGTGTTGGCTTTGTTAGGCCAATTTTCAATTGGATGAATTGATTTTCTGTTCCTGTCTGTACCTTTCTAGTACCAGCTACTTGGACCAGGGATTTTAGGTTTCAGAAGATCAGAGGGGCTTCTTTAAGCTTATTCCAAGATTATCCATACCTTGGAAGCTAGAACAGGAGTTGTAAGGAAATATTTTGAAGCATAAGATGGTGGAAAAGGAAGATGAGAGCATGAAGGATGTTGGGGCTGCTGCCAAGTATTCTAAGAAAGCCTTGTCCCTTCCATCTTGCCATACTAAGTAAAACTGAGTGGTACAAGCATGCAGGCAATTGTAGGAAACACAGGAGGACAGGTTTGATTTAACCTTGCAAATGATGTGTGTATTTCCCAAGGTGGATGTGACTTCCTTTGCCTGTGAAGCCCGTTTTTCTCCCCTACTCCACCATCTCTGCCCCGTTTAGTCACATCTGGTCTTATTTGCACTCCATGGCCTCCAGGTCTCCTTCTCTCCTCCTAGTGTTATGACCCTGTCAGTCAACTTTGGGCTCAATAGAAAATGCCACGTGGCCATAGATTATCCCCCAAGAGGGTATTCATTTATTATTGACCTTCACGTGAGGAAAATCAAGGCTAGAAATGTGATGTTTGTATTACCAAAATTCCCCCTCCCCAACCTTCCCCAGATTCCTTGAGCCAGGCTTTGAGAGGATTGGTCTGAGCATGAATGGAAAAGAGCTGAGATGGGAAGTCAACA